TTATATTATTTAATAAAATAATAAATAATCATTAAAAAGCATTTCCGGTTTCCGTTTCGGCCCAGAATTTCCATTTCGGTGCATCCCTAGATGTAAGACTACATGTTTAATTTAATTTAATTTAAATTTAACAGTAATTTACTTTCAAATGCCCCAATTGCTGAAGGGTCTGCACAACGTTTTAGTACAATTTCAAGTTGCACTGTTCAAAATACCTGTAGTAGCACAGCAGTGCATACCTGTTTACATTTAATTAAGGTGGACTAGATTAGACTGTAATACAAATAGTTGAGTTTGCCAGGTGCATACAACATTTATGACAGGTTTTCTTGAAAGTGTTGGTCAGTTTGTCTGCTTGACAATCCCATTTTGCACTGCAACAATAAAACTGAAGCGAGATAAACAAACTGAGAAATGTTTCTTTTTAGTTAAACAGATGTTGTCAAAGTTTTCCTTTGGGGACATAATTTGAAGTTGGAAAATGGTAATAAATTGCAATATATCGCAATATATTTAAAATCGCAATAATATTGTATCGTGACACAAGTATCGTGATAATATTGTATCGTGAGGCCTCTGGTGATTCCCACCCCTAGTAAAAGGGTGTTGTTTTACACTACCATTGAGAAATTTTAACCAAAGTATGGTATAGACTTTCCATTAAGACCCTAAAGAATCATATCGACTTGTGAAAAATGGTCATCCGATGACCCCTTTAATGATTTTGAATCTTTTATTCATATTTATTATATATTACTTAGTTCATTTTTACACAATATTTATTCACAATTCACAATAAAATTACAAACTGAAATCTGTTTATTATCAATAGATTCTGAGAAAAAAAAAATAGGAGCAAGTAGGTCTAACTTCTCCAGGCCTAACTAAGCTGCAGTAATTATTGGATCAATGCAATCATCTCAGATTGGACATGTGTGATTATATTACTGCTCGAAATTGAACGGGAGAATGCACGTTTTAAACCGCTTATTGCACAGGTAAGTTAATCGCCGTTCTAATCTAATGCGCTGCTGCACTGTAACGCACACACATAGGCTACAGACAGTAGCTCCTACATCACGCACACAGAATCATTGAGCACAGAAATGCATTGTCAACACTGTTCTGTGATTTCTCAATAAAATAGCTTAGAAACTGAAAAGTTCAAGCATTTATTTCTTAATAACTAAATCCCACAGCTTCACTACTAGTAGATAGACGCTGCCTGGTAGAATTAATGCACACACGCAATCGCTCTCACTAATGCATTCATATGAATGTAATCTTTACTGTGCTACTTTATCTGTATCTGATTTAGAACGAGCAGAAATCTGTGAGAAATATAACGACTTAAAGACAAAAGAATTGATAAAAAAGCTGTTATAGGAGCAACAGCCATGTGGGCAGCGCTGTGCACAAGGTGTTTGTCACAGCTCCAGACTTATTTGTTCATTAATGACGTCATCAGCGACTAGTCGACTTCGACTCGACTTTCATCACATAAATGTCGACTTCAAAAAATCAGAAGTCGTTCAACCCCTATGGTCTATCAGTACTGCAAATCTTCAGGACATTTACAAAGGTTTACGAAGAGCATGAAATTGAAATCAGAGGTGTGTTTAGAGTTTTGTGGGCCCTAAGCAAGCACTTCCCCCGGACTGCAGGGCCCCATGCATTTGTGTTGGTTGCGTGCTGCTTAAACACGCTACTGTTTAGGCACCGCTGTAATACTGTAAGAACAATCCTTGGAGCCCGAGCAAATCGAAAATTGGCATCAAACTGTTTAGCTTTAAGCATCTCTAATGGAAATGGGCACAAAATTTGTTCAGAAGCAAATACAAACATTTCTTTGTTACGCTAATCTGTAAATCTCAGCTCTGAAGTCTATGAATGAACAGACTGAAGTCCTACCTCTGGGCTTGTGTCACTTGCCATAGCTCTTCTTTACTCCGCTCTTCTGTTCACACTGCATTTATACTGACTCAATGCACTCTTCTCTGTATTTGTCTTCACTCACTCAACACTCAACTTTTATCAGCTCCGCTGGAAACACTGACACACTCACACTTCACAGAATGAGGTGACGAGGAGGAAACATTTTGGGTGAACGCAGCTCTCCAGAGATTTGATCTGATTTACAGCAGCTCTCTGCGATGATTCGCTGATTTGTCATCAATTATTTTAAGCGTCTGCTACTGAGTGTTTTAAAACATTATGATATTCAATTAGTCCGACACTAACTTCATTCTGAGTCCAAGGATGTGAACAGCTCCACATAGAAAGTCTGGGTTATAATTATAGTAATTACAACATTGCATGAATGCAGCATCACAACCTTATCTTGAAATACCTTTTTAAATCTAACATAACATATACAAGCAACTTGATTTTAAATGTTGTTCCTGTTACAGGTCATATTTATTAGTTGAATGTGGCCTGAGAGCCTGTTACAGCATAAGGCACCAATTGATAATTCATAATATAATTTTATTAATATTTTCAGCAAAAAATGAAAAGAAAAAAAGCCTGTTTTACTTTCTCCATTGGCAAATATGTTTCTGGTTTTAAAGTAAAATCCAAACAAGTCTTACTATTTTCTGTAATTTGCTTTTTTGCATGTAAACTGATCTTGTTTTAAGGATGCCTACAAATATATACTGGAAATACTGTACACTGTAGACTGCATCAGTCTGCTTCCTGTATTTTGTGGAATATGTTACACTGGCTCAGTTTGAAGGCATTTGTGCTTACTAAGGTTTTAAAGCTACATTACCGTTCAAACGTTTGGGGTTGGGAAGATGTTTTAATGTTATAAATGAAAGAGTCTATACATCTAGTACAAATAAAATCTCTTCTGCTCACCAAGGCTTATCATTACAATTTAAAATAACTGTTTTCTATGTGAATATGTTTTAAAGTGTAATTGATTCATGTGATGTGCAGCTAAATTTTCAGCATCATTACTCCAGTCTTCAGTGTCACATGATCCTTCAGAAATCATAATAATATGAATCGATATTTGCTGATCAAGAAACATTTCTGATTATTATCAATGTAGAAGCAGTTGTGCTGCTTCATATTTTTGTGGAAACGGTGATCATTTTTTATAGGATTCTTTGATTAATAGAACATTCAAAAGAACAGCATTTATTTGAAATAATTTCCTGTCACATTTGATCAAATGAATGCAAATGAAACTTTATCACAAAAGTGCACACCAGAGGGAGGTTAATATGAATGCACGTTTGAAGGTTCACGCCTGAATCTTTTTTTGGGAATTCTGGGAGGGTCAAAGAAAAAATAAAAAACAGGAAGTCTTGAAATCTGACTAAGGAGTTGCGCTGATGACCACCTAAAAATACACTCCACCGTTCGGGTGTCTTGCGTCAAACTCCCAACCGCAGTGGCCTTGTAATCGACAAAGCTATGAGAAAATCAAACCAGCTTGCAAGTCCTTATCTGTTATTATGCAACTAATCAACTAGACTGAGAACAATCATCTTCCGTCTCTGCCCTAAGAGGAGACGTATCTGTTGACCGCCTCATTGTAATCAAAAACATTTTCATGAATGAAACAGGAGTTTGAAGAAAACACTTTGTGTCGTTTCCTGGATGATCCACGACTGTTTCTCTGTTTTGTGATAGTTGCTCACGAGTCCTGCGTTGGTCCTTTTACGCAGGCCCATTAACTGCGTAAATCATGCAGTTAATGTTGGAAATGGTTCAAATATGCAGAAGATGCTGGAAAACCAATGTGCAGGAGCCGGGGATTTTTCTGAAGAACAGCAGCCAGTTGAACTGCTCAGGACCAACGCAGGACTCATGAACAACTATCACTAAACAGAGAAACAGTCGTGGATCATCCAGGAAACGACACACGGTATTGAGATTGAAGGGTATCTACACTTTTGAATGGGGTCATTTTTATAAATTCAGTTATTATTTTGTTTTGTGGAGTATATGTAGACATCTGTTATGTGAAATAGCTTACTCAGGACAGTACTAAATAAATAAAAAAATGCAAATTTCATGATCCCTCTTATTTTGTTTCAATTATTAACATTTTGCACATTCTGCAAGGGGTATGTAAACTTATGAGCACATCTGTATATATATATATATATATATATATATTAGTATAAAATAACAACAACAAAAACTAGGAATGCATGATTTAGGGAAAGATTTTTTTTGTGTGTGTGATTTTAATAAATCAAGGTTTGCTGTGCTTGGTTGTAGGGCTACACAATTTAGCCTAAAATGTAGTGCTTATATATATTAAAATTGCTATAAACAACAACAATAATAAATTAATTAATATTCATTATATTAGTATTATTATTATTATTACTATAAAATGCTACAATTATAAAAAATATCATTACTGAATAAAAACAAAATAACTAAATATTATAATATACTACTAAATATTTATATTATAACGGTGAACTTAAAATACTAATAGTCAAGGCTCTCTTCATTTTCAAATGTTAAACCATAAAATGACTTGTTTTGAAAGAGAACTGCAGGGAGCCCTTAAAGCGTATCGTTTCTTGATAAGTGTTTCTCATTCGCTATTCATAGGATTGTCTCCCCCAAAAGTTCAAACATTGAGCCTTCCAGGCACCAATGAAACATTTAAAGTGGTCGGCCCATATCTGTCAATCATTCCAGCTCAACCAATAGCGAGAGTTTGGGGGCGTGGCTACTGTAGCAAGCTGAGCCAAAGTGTGTTGAGGAGGTGTGAGCTCACGGGATCATGACGTGTTACACGGGGGGAAAAATCATTTACAGAACTGCAAGCCAAAATACATGTGGGGTAAATGGTGTAAAACAAGGGTAGCCCTTGGCAGTATTTTTACAAGAGAGTAACTTGATTGCATCTTTGGGTTACTATCAAGATGCTGAACTTGAAGAGTTTCTTCTTGACAGGTAAGCTAAAGTTACCATAGTTGACAGCTATTTACTGTCAAGACCCAGATAAAGTAGTACAACTTTGTAAGGATAAGAATAATCGTAAAGATGTGATGCATGTAAGGGGCCTTTGCAAATGTTGTTTAAAAATATGCTTTATTTCTGTAATTGTAAATGACACTAGTTGCTCAGAAGCTGCACACTTTATCTTTAAGTAAGTAGTTGACATTATAGGACAGAGATGCTCAAAGCAGGGCTTGCAGGCCAAAGTTAAGTCCCGTTATGACCTTTGATTTTGCCCACCATGTCACATTTTTAGTTTTTTGTATTTTTGCATTGAAAGACAATATAACCGAATTCGATTTTTTTAAATGTAATTTTTAAAATAATATAGATGGATATAAAGTAACATCTGTTTTGACATATTAGTATTATTATTATTATTACTATAAAATGCTACAATTATAAAAAATATCATTACTGAATAAAAACAAAATAACTAAATATTATAATATACTACTAAATATTTATATTATAACGGTGAACTTAAAATACTAATAGTCAAGGCTCTCTTCATTTTCAAATGTTAAACCATAAAATGACTTGTTTTGAAAGAGAACTGCAGGGAGCCCTTAAAGCGTATCGTTTCTTGATAAGTGTTTCTCATTACAAGTATGCTAAGACAGTTGACGGTGGGCTAACTAAACATGTTGACTAAACAGTTTAACTTTATAGCTGAAGTTGTATGATTTTTTTTATGTCAAAACACATTTTCTTAACACAAGTTATTGTTCATTTATTAATATAGGTATGCTATTCATAGGATTGTCTCCCCCAAAAGTTCAAACATTGAGCCTTCCAGGCACCAGTGAAGCATTTAAAGTGGTTGGCCCATATCTGTCAATCATTCCAGCTCAACCAATAGCGAGAGTTTGGGGGCGTGGCTACTGTAGCAAGCTGAGCCAAAGTGTGTTGAGGAGGTGTGAGCTCACGGGATCATGACGTGTTACACGGGGGGGAAAAATCATTTACAGAACTGCAAGCCAAAATACATGTGGGGTAAATGGTGTAAAACAAGGGTAGCCCTTGGCAGTATTTTTACAAGAGAGTAACTTGATTGCATCTTTGGGTTACTATCAAGATGCTGAACTTGAGGAGTTTCTTCTTGACAGGTAAGCTAAAGTTACCATAGTTGACAGCTATTTACTGTCAAGACCCAGATAAAGTAGTACAACTTTGTAAGGATAAGAATAATCGTAAAGATGTGATGCATGTAAGGGGCCTTTGCAAATGTTGTTTAAAAATATGCTTTATTTCTGTAATTGTAAGTGACACTAGTTGCTCAGAAGCTGCACACTTTATCTTTAAGTAAGTAGTTGACATTATAGGACAGAGATGCTCAAAGCAGGGCTTGCAGGCCAAAGTTAAGTCCCGTTATGACCTTTGATTTTGCCCACCATGTCACATTTTTTGTTTTTTGTATTTTTGCATTGAAAGACAATATAACCGAATTCGATTTTTTTTAAATGTAATTTTTTAAATAATATAGATGGATATAAAGTAACATCTGTTTTGAACCACTGCCCTCAATCAAGTTTGATTTTTGGCCCTTCGTAGTAAAAAGTTTGGGTACCTCTGTAGCAGAAAGAGCCAGATAAAGCATCACTTAGAATGAACACATACTTGGGCTGAATTATGAATTGCATTTTGAGCGCATGCATTAATGCAAACCTGAACAGCAAAGTGAGTTTGGGCCTAACAAACAGGGTTCCCACAACTTTTGTCTAATGAATTTTCCAGTGGATTTTTAAAAGCAACACTAGAAACAAACAAAACATGAATATTCACTACAGAAATGTCTATGAATTTGCAATATTTCACTTAAAATGACAAAAATCCCTGATGATGTTTTTCCATGACTGTGGGAAGTGGGAACCCTATAAAAACACAGATCCAAACTCCATCGCCAAAGCTGAATGACAGATGCAATCAATTCATTTCAGTGCAATATTTTGCATCCGGCTGTGATCTAACACACCCGTTATTACGCTCAATATTTTAGCAACAAGCCAAAATAGCCCCTAAAATTCACCCACAGCATCTGAGGTATTATCCTGCGCTTCTATATTTATGTTGTTAATTTTCACCTCATGGTGGCCAGAGCCGTCTGCCTCATCTAAATTAAGATCTCACCGTCTGCCAATGAAGCTGCATGGAAGACTGTCGTGGAGAAACAGTCTGGGAAAACGCATTTAGTGCTGATGGGCAAAAACAGGACTTATCATTTGCATGCCTCAATGAGTCTTTGCATTCGTTTGATATAAATATAATGTTGTTGGAGAAGAACTCGTGCATCAGTGTTCGGACAGCAGCTTATAACAGCTTCCACAACATTAAATAATAGACAGAGATCATTAGGTAATTCATTATTTTTTGTTAGAAAATATTTTCATGTGGTGAGACCTGGGCTAGTTGTCACAAGTAAGATTTTGAGTCCAAAGTCCGAATGCACAAATGTGTTTCTCTCACAGTGGTTTTCTTCTCACGTGCAGTTCAAAACGCTCTTAAATTAGACTTTTTTTCTCATTTTTATTTTGGTATCATCATATTGTTTGCAATAGCTGTTGGTAACAAGAGATAACTATGATAATGCATAATAACAGTAGATTTAACCAAGAGATTCAACTTGGCTCTCAGTACAGTGTCAGCTCGGGGCAAGTTGTCACATGTTTTAATGTTAACATTTATAATAATGAATAAATAAGCTTATAAATGTATGACATTATTTGTTAGGCAAAACATTTTTTAACATATTGTCTTTGTGCATTTTTGTTTGGGGTCTCAAATGAACTATTTCAGTGCACTGCTTTTGTCACAAAAGTTCAGTTCGTGTTTAATAGGCTTTATATTTGATGCAGGATGGAATATGTAAAAATATAGATTTCAATATGTTTAGTCACTTTGTGTTTAAATTGCCTTCCAAAAATAATCTCACTCTAAAATATTCCCCGGAATAAATAGGGCGACAACTATCTTAAAAAGGACTTGACCTACAGATCTGCTTTACATAATGTTTATGAAAGTGATTAGGCGTTGTCTACTGTACATCGCCGCACGCGACGCGACGCGACGCGACTCAAGCGCTTGCGTTATAATGAGCGCGTCTGCCAACAGTGGACGCAGAGAGCGCAGCTGACTCTTATTAGAGAGAGTAAACTAGCAGAATAACTCAGAAAACGTGCAAACAGATACCAGACGCGGTCTTTTCTGGGCATGCCACACTTTTAAGCGCATGCAGCAGAGAGCTGTCAGACGCTCATTCACTGACCTGCTTTCCAGCGGCTGGCTCTTCAGCTCGTAATATGTTTTAGGCTCCTCGTGAAATTCCTCTCCGACTTCAAAGTCGGCCACGATCCCCGATTCCGACTGCATTTTCAAAAGCTGTCAACTTGCTGCCAGGTGGAAAGTAAGAGTCGTACTTCCAGACGCGCGAAGTGCCAGCCACCGTGATGTCAAGCTGTCAGTGCGCTCCGGTAGTCCGCTAGATTCGCTTTGTAGTCCGTCAGGAGGGCTGTGTGACTGCGGCGAACGCGGCCCAATGAAGTGTGGAACTACAAATCCCAGGAATGACGACAGCCGTGTTTCAGCATCTTTTGATTGGCTGGCACCAAAAAGGGGGCGTTACCCTTAACAGCAACGTGTTTGGCTTTGGCTACAAATAAAAGGACGTTATCTACATGCTACGAACAGGAAGATATTACTTGTTCATTTATCAAAGAACATTCATTAATTTTTTTAATAATTTTAATTGCGCTATTTCATCTCCATGCAATTTTAGAAGCAGTACAATCAATGTCCACGCGATGTCAGGATAATCAAATATATGAAACAACATCCTCCCACTTCAACGCTTATGACCCAGTGTCTGATTTTTTATTTATTTTTTCAGTTAAAAGTAGCTTAGATGTGTTGCTTAATTTGCACCTACTATCTGAGCTAGTCTCTAACATTACTGATATTCGACGTCTCAGTTATTCATCAAATAAGAAGACTCAAAATGGCATTGTAGTTTAGTGTACTAACACTATTTCACTTGGTAGGCTACAGAAGTTCATTTCAGACAAACCAAGTGTACCGTTAACCAACATCAGATAACTGTGAACATATCCTGTGTTGTTAAATTATTGAAATGTTTACATCTCTGTTAAATAACAGCTTTGCTTTTAGCTTTCTGATCCAGACAGCTGTTATAAATTGTGGCACAGTTTCGCTCATTTGTATGATCTCATTCATGGGAACAGCTCAATTATATTTAGGGGTAGACCTTCATGCTTACTTTCCCCCTAAATCATATGTTTTTGTAGGACTCCCATCATTGTGACACTTAATTTCAGTTATACAGTATGCTTGTCTGATTTTAGCTTCCGGTTGGGATGAACAGTGAGCTGCTCTCTCAGTGCAGATGGTGTGTGTGTGTGTGTGTGTGTGTGTGTGTGTGTGTTGTG